CAGAATTCAAACTCAAGTTTCCCTTCTTACCTTATACCAGGCAGCCTGAAGCACAAAGAAATAATGGAGATTACATAAATGACTGAAGAGTAAAGGTCCTGGAGATATTGTGAAAGGGACCAAGGACATAAGGTAGAGGGGTTGGCCTCAGAAAAGAGAAAGACCACCTCCTTCTTAGAGACAGGAACAAAGAAATGGGAAAGAATGGATGCTAATATTAGATTTTTGAAGAAAAAAAAGTAGGAAACTCAGCTAATTACTTCAATCATCTCTATAAAGTAAAAGGCATGGCCCTATGCATGTCTCTGGATAAACAGTTAATACCTCCCTCCAAAATTAATCTGATAGGAAACATAATTTAATTGAGTAAATCACTGCAAAAATCTTCAAGTGCCTCGTACATTAGATAAAAATTAATCCAATCACTAAAATACTGAACCTAAAGGAGCACAGGCAAAAGTTACACAAGAGACATTTCTTTTATTCAAAACCATCAATGTCCTTCACTGAAGAGTTAAGAATTTAAAATAATGAAGAAAAAAATCTAATAAGCAAATGGTCATTTTACAAATGAGCTGCTATATCTCAAACACTCAAACTTTTAGATAATGTAGGCCATCTAAAATTTTTAAACTACCCAGCCAATTTAGGCAGAACCAATTGGAGCCAGTCATTTTAATTGTATTAACATAGGATAGAAAAATTCTTAAAATTTCAAATCCTTGTTTTCTGTCACAGTGCATACCTGCTATATTAATTAGTAATTTAAAAAAAATAGCCATTGCTATCTGGAATCTCATACATCTGAAGTTATAAAGTATTGTCTCTTAAGGTTGAAGACTACAATTTTTCATAACACATGGAACATTTTTAAAACAATAAAAGATCTTTAAATGCTTTAGTTTCCTTTGCTCCAAGTGAACTTTCTTATAGACTATTTACAATGTCTGGAAAATCCATAAACCAAAAACCAAAAAAATCAAGTAGAAGAGAAATGAGGCTGACATAATTTGTATTCTCATTTTAAATTATAGCTACTTTTATTTGCAACTACGAGATACAAATTTGGAACAGATTATGTCAAAATATTTAAAAACATAGCATTTTAAAAGACCTGAATGCAGATGACAAGATTTTTGTACTACAACACAGGTCTCTTAAGTCATGTTAAAACAGAGTATTCCCCAATTCTACCAATGACCCATTTATTTTAAGCAAAGTGTAAATCAACAAAATTCTAAAACAATAACTGACAATCCACTAAAGTTTGTTTTATTGGGATTCTACTTGCATTATGTCACCTGGAAAAATAATTCTAAAGTATTTGTTTTACAAAATGGTTTATGCCCATATTCCATTAATATTTTTAACACTAAACCAATCATCTACTAGTGTCAAGAAAATACAGTTTAGCTTTACATGATCAAAGTTTAGCTATCTCAACTGTAATTGGTGTACTTTATGGCTTAGCCAAAGCTGACAAACATGTAATTCACAAGACTCAGATGAGATAAAATGTGCCTCATGGTCCATTCTGAGTGTTTTACTCTATAATAGGGAAGGCTAACCATGATGCATGAGTAAACAAGAGTCCTATAAGCTCAGCTGTATCCTACTTTATTTCTATCCAGAAAACCTAAAAAAAGCAGAGCCAGTAGAATGACTGTTTCCTCCTGAAGAAAAGAAAAGATAGTCAAGATTTGGTTGTACTTTATTAAAACTATGGACACTCAAAAGGTATTAACTTTTTCCCTCTATATTACCAGAGGTTAACTATTTAAAAGTAGTCTTATGAAAAGATCAGAGAACAAAGAAAAAGATGCTTTGAGCTTATCAATCTCCCTATTACAGGATATATTCTGTGAAACAAGTAATATTTAAATGGTAGCTGTAGTTAGAAAGTCTGAAGTAACCCTATATACATAATCAAACAAATATAAATGCTAAGCACTTAAAAACATAAACCTAAATGGTAATAAAAATTTCTTGCAGAAGTCCTAACTTAAAGTATACAAACAGAAACATCATTATAAAATTATCTGATTCTGAATTTCTAAATTTATATGTAAAAATGTTACATTATAATATTGAAGGGGATAGGGAGGAGGGGGTTGGTTCTGTAATTTCTTTGGTACAGGCAACTTCCAGTGAGGAAACCCCTTATGCCCAAATTGTACAAATTTCATATAAAATATCTTTGTTAAGCTCATTATATTTTTTTAAGCACGAAAAAAGTTTCTCAAAGTTAAAAGAAAACATGGCACCAAAAGTTACAATTAACAAAGCAAATAAAAAAAATAAAGTCCAATTAACATACTCACGTGTGGTGCTAGAAAATTTAATACGATGCACAGCAGCTGATATGCGTTATCTTATAGTTGCAACCTACATTAACAGGTAAGTTATATAGCAACATTCTATCCACAAGTACTTGGTAGTTTCCTACTTGCCCTTATGGGAATCTACCTGATGATGATCAGTAAAGCACATAATTTTAAAGGTCTTGGATATTTACAAGAAAGCAAAATTGGAATGAAATAAATACAAAAGAAACTTACTTTTTCCATGTAAAAATAAGACCTAAAACACTTTCCTAAATATTAGTGAAGGAAAAAGAGTAAATGTAATTTAGTCCAGTATGTAAGGAAATATAAAGTAACTAAATAAAGGCTCCCAAGTAAATCCATTCTATTCTAATGCTTTTAAAATTTAAATGAATTGCCCATTTTAATCTGTATATGTTTAAGTAGCATTATATGTAATAGTAGACCTATAACAGATACAGGAGTTTCACTAAGCTATGTTTGAGAGATAAACTACAAAAATGAAAAAAAAAAAAAAAAATGAGGAATGAAAATCAATAAATAATTTCCAAATTAACTTACTGATAAAAATATTTTAAAGAATTATATGAGAATTTCAAGGTTTTATTCTAAGGAATTATGTTGAATTAAAATCCCAGAAATATCATCATGCCATAAAACTTCTAAGGAAAAATCATTTTGGGATAGCTTCTCATTTAGATTAAATACTTTTCATTTAAAAAAGAGTTTAATCAAGGGAATCACTATAATGAAGGTTTCACAGTGAGAAGGAAAAAAAAAAACAACAGATTAGCAGTTGAAGGCATGTCCAATCAGACTATGTTGATAATGAAGGGAAAGAAAGACACCTGAGGTTCCTGGAATCAAGGACAAAACTGCGAATAATCTATAGATAAAAATAAATGCTTGCTGAAAGTAAGAATAATGGTGCTACTGGTTCAAATGATTAAACTATCTATTAAAATATAAGATGCCAAAAGCTACAAAATAAAAATATTCAAAGATAAACCAAAGGCATCAAATGGTTTTATAAAAAATAACTTCAATAATCATGACTATATTACAGAAATGTTTATTTCTATAAATTATTTTATAACCATAATAGATTCCACCTCAGTTAACATTATTTCTAAAATTACAATGAAGAAGCATATGAATCTGCATTTAAACTTAGATATACCTGGTGAAAGGTAAATTTTAGCCATAACTATAACTTTTAAATAATCCTTTTAAAATTGTTGTTTTTAAAGGGGACTTTTTAAAAAATGGACTTCATGGAAATGTATTGCTTTAGAAAAAAATTATAAAGATAGTGTATTAATAGCTAAGCCTTCTTTCAATGTAGCATTCTATGCAGCAGATAACTGCAGGTCAAACTTCAGTATGACAAATTAATAAAGTTTCTGTGATTCCCAGGCTCATTTCAATGCCCTGCTTTTATAAACAGTATTCAGTGAAAGAAAATACCATACATATATATATACAGTCCTTGGTATTAGAACATAAACCATACTAAACTATGTAGTTTTGCTTTCCTGACAACATCCACAGCAAAATTTACTTTAAGGTAGATCTTTGTAACTGAGGCAGAGCCAAGAGTAAAATGGAAACCAAAGGGTTAAATGAAGTCAGATAAATGTATATAACTTATTTCACTCAAAGGCCAAATTTTCATGTCTCCAATTAGGAAAGTTTGAAATTAATTTTACAAAAAATATATTTAACTAATTCAGTAAATTATAATAAAGAAAAGCCAATACAGTTATTTTGGTTATTATAAGCTATATAGCTCACATTTGACTAAGGTTGACAGCTGTATCCATTTTGTTAATGCTGTAAATTGCAGAAGTACAAAATTTTAATTAAAAAAAAATTAACCTTCCAAAAAGTTAATACAATGCAAATATACTAGTAGTCAACACCTAAAATATATGACTAATGCAAAGCTACCTAACAGTATTTGTGTACAAATCAAAAGCTCTCAGTGTATCTTAAGATACACTATAGCACCAAAATTTCTCTACCAGGACCTTCAAGGTAGCTGTATTCAAATTTAAAATCATAATGCTACCATTGTGTCAATACCCCAGTAAGTTTTATGAGTGTTTATGTATATATGTAAATATACATATCCATACAGCTCCTATAAGGAGTTGAAAAAAGAAAATTAAAACTCTCAATAGCCTTTTTTCAAAGCCTAAAGTTGATATCATCCTCATTTCATAAGATGAGGACACAGAGAAGTTATGTGACTTAGAATCTTGAAGTTTGGAGATGGAAAGGCCTTAGATCCAGCCTCTTCATCTTATAGATGAAGAAACTGAGAGAAATATTAAGTAAATTGTGCAAGGCCGCATGTCATGCAGATCTAAAGACTCTATAACCCAGTGCATTTTCCACTGCATTAACACTGCCTCTCACCATAGAACTGTATGTGAAGTTAAAACAATGCCAAACTTTTTGTCTGCTAATGCTTAACAGTAGAAAATTTTGCTTCTTCTGTGTCAGAGGTTAATGGGTAAAATAATAACAATAATAATAATTAATTAAAAATTTTAAAAAATCAATCTAACTGTTCAAGAAGCACTTTTAAAATACTAAGTGTCTATTCTAGGGTTCTTTAGTCTGCTCTGAATTATTCCATTTCACAGTTCAAAAAACAAAAAACACACTTACTCGATTTGAGCTCCATTAGCCACAAGAGCACTTATAGAATCCATACTACCAGAACGTGCAGCTTTGTGAATAGGAGTTTCACCCTCACAATCCTGCAAATAAAAATAACACTTTGAGTAACTGTTTTTCTTATACTCATTCAATAAACAGCGGGCTTTTGCAATGAGAATGCTGTTAACCAAATTTTAAAGAAGACAAAAATATAAGTCTGAGAAAGAACATAATCTTTTTGTTGGAATACAAAAATTTACCCACTGTGAATATTTTTTAAAAAGCAAGAAAAATGAACCTAGGTGCAATCTTTCTAAAAACTAACAAAACAAAATCCTAAATGTACATTTTATCAGATGTCAATCCTTGGGGAAAAAAAAAAAGATTTGGGTCACCAGTAGCGTGGAAAAAATAACTGTATAAATTTCCATCACTTAAGACAGTTCTCAAATAAGGAAAAAAAAAGACTCAGTAAAATAAGATTTATGAACAAGCTTTCTGTGATAAACATGAGTTAAACAGGGAGAGGAAATACACCTGTGATTTCACTGAATAGGGAATTCCAGGTAAGGAAATTGCCTCAGCTAAGGCAAGTCAGAACCTTCTCTGAAATTTAATCATGGAGAGTTGTCTAGAGCAGATCTGTTTAGTGACTTGCCCAGGGTCATAAGGCTACTATGTGTCAGAGGCAGGACTTAAATCTCTCTCTTTCTGGCTCTGAGGTTAACTCCCTCACCACTATGCTATACTGACTCTCTGTGAGCTAGTTACCTCCTGAAATAGTTATTTTATGGCAACTAGAAGAATCATGTTACTGCTATAGCCTTCAATCAGAACTCAAAGGATACAGTTTTAAAAATCTGGAAATCTACTCTAATTGACAATGCCCTCTCACAGTTCTCAGTTCTCTGGGTTAAAAAACCCAAAGGCAAAACATGTAACAGAGAAAGAAAAATATGCCTATACATATCAGAAAGCAAGAAAAAGGAACTAATCCTACTCCAAAAATATTCAAGATTTTAGCATGGACAACTTAAAATGGCTGACTAAAACCCTCTCTAAACCTTATCTAACATATCTTTTACTTCTCAATGTTCATTCACTAGATACATGTTAATAATGGAAAACTGAATCCTTAATGAAGACTGGGGCTATATTACTAGTGAAAGTCCACCACATACATCATTTACAAGGAGACAAAGAAATATAAAGCACAGGTGTAAGGTTTTGTTTGTTTGTTGGGGTGTAGGGGTTAAAGGCAACTAACCTACAGAAGAAAAATACAACTGAGTTAACAAAGAAATTAAAAACAAAAACAAAAAACTTTGCTTCTTTTAAAAAACAAAAACAAATTGACAAGCATTTATCAAAATGTGTATTTTTTGCTTTCTTTTTGTTCTGGCATTTTGAAGCTCTTCACAATCTAGCCCCTATCTTTCCTAACTTGCATAGTCCAGCCATTCTGACCTCCACACGTAACACTCCCTCCATTACCTCCTGTGCCTTGGCAACGCCTGTCCTCCCTCCATGGGATTGTCTCACCTGACAAATTCCTGGACTTTCTTCAAAATTTAGCTTAAATGCAACCTTGTGAAAGACCTTTCTTGGTCCTACTAGCTGCCACTGCACTTTGCCTTCTAAAACCTTCCACGTGCCCTTTATATATCTTGTATATACCTATTATGTACATTTTCTCCCTCCAATAGAATGTGAGCTCCTTGGGGGCAGGGGCTGTTTTGCCTTTTCTTTATATCCCAGTGGCTGGCACATAGTAAGCACTTAGAAAATGCTTACTGATTTTACCTGTTAGGGATTATGCTAGTTGCTAAGGACATAAAAGCGAGGCAATGCCTGCCTTTAATGAAGATGGTTATAGTCTACTGAAAAGATTCAACATATACAAAGATAAGTAAATACAAGCTATATACAAAATAAATAAAATAATGGAAGGGAGTGCTAGGCATTTTTCATTAATTTGGGTTTTTTGGATGAATTGTTAATTTTTTGAACAATTGTGCATCTCACTAAGGAGGCTCTGTAATGTTCTATAGCTTGATGAAATCAGCATAAAGCCATCTGAAAAGAGACTGATGTTATGTGGCTTCAAATCTTGAACACTACTACCTGTGAAGAATCAAAGTTTCAAGGGACTCAAAGGGTAATGAAGACACACATAACGGGCCAAGTAGGCAGCAGCTAATTTCCAACAATGACCTACCCACAAAAAGCAGTTGCACCAGTACTCACAAAACATAAATAGACCTAGAAGAATATCTCTAGCACATTGGTAGATCCTATGGGGAGTTTATGGGTGACTATGGACAAGAATCAGAGATAGGAAGTATGAATGGATTTTGATCTGCAATGGAATATCTATATTGATAAGATCATGCATTTACTTAAACACTGAAGGATTAAGTACTGGTTGCTTTTGGAGAAGAAATAAGGAATTAGAGAACCAAGAAAGGACAAATGTGTATATGGGGAGAAAAAAGAGGGACTGCCGAGAACAAGATGCAGAGAGACTGCTGGAAAAGGGAAATAAAGGGAAAAATAAGATAGGTTCAACAGAAAAAAGAAAGCAGATTAGTTGAAGAATGGTATCAACAACTACTCTGGGTGCCAGTCAGTTGCATCAAGTGACAGACTGCCTATTCCTTCCACTGGCCAGGTTATAGGGCTAACACTGGAGTCAAACCAGGGATTAAATTTCTCCAGATATAGGATAGCTTTTCTTCCTACTCAGAAATAAGTGCAAGATAATAAACTTTTAAACCACTAGCTTGAATTCCTTCACTTATTTTCTTCCAAACATTCTTCTTCATATTTTCTTTTCAATTAGTTTTAAACAATATTAAACAATAAAAGATGAGAAAGCACAAACAGGAATTGTACACAGATATAAAAATTTATATTTTCTATCTTGATGAAAGAAAGCCCTTTAAGAGTAAGGACATGGGTCTTCATGACATACACACACAAACACACACATCGTGGTCATTTTATCTTTTCCAGTTTTCAAATGAACCACAGAATATTTCCAATTTCCTTTCACACTCTTTTGTAAATCTGGTTATGTTAGCTTATAGTACTTGTTTCTTAGATATATCTCATTTCCTAACCTGGATTTGTATTTACAAATCAATTCATGAATGGCACTCATCCAAAATAATTCAACTAAAATAAATCCCAGTTAGCACTTTAAATAAAACTCAAATTCTGGTTAGAATATCAATTCTAAATGCCATAGTACAAATTGGTTACAACTGAAAAAAAAAATTAGTTAAATCCAGTCATATTTAATACCTGTTTGTTAATGTTGGCTCCAGCTTGGATCAACCAGATCAGGCACTCAGGATGTCCTCCAAAAGCAGCAATATGGGCAGGTGTTTGGGCAAATCGTGTTGTACAGACATTCGGAGTAGCACCAGCTCTCACCAGCTGTATTAAGCACTCCAACTTTAAGAAAAGCAGTGAGAATAAGGTAAACACTTATATTAATTGTACTACTAAATATACTTAAACATTTGCCCCCAAAATTAGTGATGAGTCCCATTGAAAAAACAAAACACCCAAATCAGACTCTTCTACTTGGAAGAGATCTCAAAGATCATTGATCTAACCTTTTCTGGAGCAACAATCTCCTTCACAACATCATTTTTTTTTAAAGAGGCACTTGGGGTTAAGTGGCTTGACCAGGGTCACACAACTAGGAAGTATCAAGTATGTGAGGCTGGATTTGAACTCAGGTCCTCCTGACTCCAGGGTGGGTGCTCTATCCACTGCACCACCTAGCTGCCCCTACAAATGGTCATCTCTAAAGAAGGGGCAGTTTCCCCTCAGTCTAGCACTCTGTTCATATCCTACTCCATTCTGTAACTGGTACACTCTTAAATTAGAAATTTTTTGTATATACTCCCGAGGCTTGCATTGAAACCTCTCTAATCTATGTATCTCTAACTCTGAGCTCTTTCTCAAACTCTAAACACCCACATTCCCAACAGCCTACAGAAAATCATCTTGCTTTGCTGCCACAACATAATCCAAATTCAGATTTCATTTCCTTTCCTGAAAATCTTGTTTTACTTTCTGACTGGCCACTATTTCAAATGGTACCACCCTTTTCATAAATCTCCCACACACAGCTGTCAAGCCTCCTTCATTTTATTCTCACTCTCCTCAATATCACTTGGGCATATGTCCCTTTCAGGCTTTTCTCACTGGAACTACCCAGTCCGAGATCCAGCCTTCCTCACCATCTGGACTACATTAGTCTTCTAATTGGTCTTCCAGCTTCCAGTTGTTTCCCCACTACAATTCATCCTTCAAACTACTTACCAGACTAAGCTTCCTTAGGCATTGCTCTGCTCAAGTCACTCTTGCATGGCTCCCTACCTACTGTTTACAAAAATAAGTTCAAAGCCCTTTGCCAACATTCAAGACTCTCAATTATCCAGCACCAGTCAAAATGTCAGAATTTTGCTATCACTGATCACATGCTCTACATTTCAGCTCAGTTGAGCTATTTCTTATCTTCACATCTCTGCCACTATGCCTTTGCTCACAGTATTCCCTATTTCTAAATTGCCTTTCTTCTTTCGGGTGAACCATCATCTTAAAGCCCACTTCAACTCATGTCATAAAATGCTTTACAATTTACAAAGCACTTTGCTGGGAGACTGGTAAACCATTCCCATTTTAGAGTAAACCGAGTTTCAGAGAGATTAAGTGTCTGACTCAAGGTCAAAACAGTCTAATAAGTTATGGATGTGATACTTATCTTGCACTTATCCTGAATTACCTTGTATGACAGTTATTTGTGTATATGCAATATAAACACCAATTAGATTCAGGATTACCTCTTATCTAAATATGAGTCATTGTACCCAGTGCACATTCTCTTGCACACAGTACAGGGCAATGATTAACTGAAATTTTTAAAAAATATTTTATTTTTTCTCCTCATTGCAACCAAGACAATTTTTAACCAATCATTAAAAAAAGAGTCTTTCAAAATCCAAAAGAGTTCCAAATTTTCTCACTCTCTGACCTGACCCTCCCAGAGGTGGTAAGCAATTTGATATAAGTTATATGTGTTCAATCATGCAAAACATATTACCACATCGGTCATGTTGTGAAAGACACAGATCCAAAGGAAAAATAGGAAAACAAACAAACACACACACAAAAAAACCAAACAAACCATGCTTTGATCTGCATTTGGACTCCATCAGTTCTGTCTCTGAATGTGGATATCATTTTTTATCCTGAGTCCTTTAGAATAGTCTTGGAACACTGTATTGCTCAGACTAGCATGAGGAAATGATATTTCACATTCTTAAAAGGTTAACTGTCACAGTTAATTTGGGGGGCACATATGAAATCAGTCAAATGGCATTACAGGGAAATATCCCAGCTCTTTCAAAGGAGGAGTATAGCTAATGTACTACTGTATGGTAAGAACAGATCACAATTTAACACATACAAGAAATGAGAGAACTGACAAAGTCTTTAAGCAATTGCCTCTAAGGACAAGTCAACTTGTCTCCTGGACCCTCTCCATTTAAGTTCCATAAAAGTTGTCCATTATTAACATATGCACCAAAGATCTACTCCTATGGACAGTAAGTTAGGGGTTGCTAGTGGCTCAATGGATGGAGCACTAGGCCTGAAATCAGGAAGACTTGAGTTCAAATCCATCTTCAGATATGATGGCTTACTTACTAGGTAATGTGACTTATTAGTATGTGACCCTGACAGGTACCTTAACCTCTGTTCTCCTTAATCCACTGGAGGAGGAAATACAAACTACTCCAGTATCTTTGCCAAGAAAAACCTCTTGGCCACTGATTGGCATGCTATGGTCCATGGGGTTATAAAGAGTAGGACATGCCTGAATGTGACAAGAAGACATTTCTTTCTTTTTTTAAAAATTTTTAGGCAATTGGGGTTAAGTGACTTGCCCAGGATCACACAGTCACTGTCAAGTGTTTGGTCTGAGGCCACATTTGAAGTCAGGTCCTCCTGACTTCAGGGCTGGTGCTCTATCCACTTTACCACCTAGCTGCCCGAGGAAGACATTTCTTGATGAAGTCTCCACTGTGCCTAAAGCATTACCTTATTCAATATATTAAATACAGAAACTGAATACTAAGTTTTAATGGTATTTTACTGTTTTTCTTTATAAAAGTATTTTCCTATTTTATGTCTTTGTTTATAGTTTCCACAATATTTTTGTTGTTCAGTTGTTTCAGTTGTGTGTCACTCTTCGTGACTCTATTTGGAGTTTTCTCAGCAAAGATATTGAAGTGGTTTGCCATTTCCTTCTCCAGCTCATCTTACAGATGAGGAACCGAGGCAAACATGGTTAAGTGACTTAAGAGTGCCTAAAGCCAAATTTGAACTCAGCAAGAGTCTTCCTGACCCCAGGCCTGGTACTGCATCCACCGCACCACCTAGCTGCCCCCTTTACAATATTAAATATGTAGTATTTGAAAAATACCTTTTAAAAATTCCAGAAGGCTGATTTTAAAGGTTAATTCTAAAAAGAACTTTTCAAATACTTATGAGCACAGATGAAGTTAAAGAAAAAAAAACTTGTTTTAGCACCTTAAAACATTGACTGAGTCTCGGAAGTATAAAGAGTTTCATAATGAAAGTACCAGTGATCACCAATCTGAAAAAATAAATATGATGATATATAGCAGGTTACATTTGTTTTAAAATGTATTTTTAATAATTAACAAAAAAAGATATTTTACACATTTCAGCTTTTATTTAATACCTAGAGAGCAGTGCTTTCTTATACACTATTCAAAATCTTGCATAATCCATAAATAATAGAATACGTTTATGCTTTAAATATCCGGGAAGGCAGTAAATTATGGGTAAGAAGAATACTTCTTATATGACTTGTATTACCATTACCTCAGAGTTATTGTGAAGACTGAGCTTTTATTATCACTACTTTCTCTACCAATAGTGACAAAAAGTCATTTTAAAATAGTACAACAAAAAAGCAAAACTAAATTTAGAAAAGCCTTGCAAATGATAAACATTCAAGGTATGGTGCAATCATAAAAAGCAAAAAAAAATCTGACTGAAATCAACTTATTTGGTCTCTTGGTATAGCTACCCTAGGCTAGTGATCTTGACAACACTAATTTTTGGTTCACCCATGCCCCCCCACCCAACAAGTAATGTGTGACAAACACAGAGTCTTCAAGGATCAGCAATTCTGTCAGCATGGGGATTCTTTCCACTGAGACAGGCACATGTTGTTTATCGCATCATTAGACTGTCTTTTTAAAGACAATACTGGAAGTTAGGATGCATATGATTAGCCATAGTAGATACTTTTTTTGAATGAACTAACGATTTCAATGGCACTGGGAACTCCTAGAGAGAACTTTCTCTATTAATGAAGATCAGCAGCTCCTGAGCAATTTTTGATCGTCAGAGTTGTCTCAGGCATCAAAAGGTTATTTGACTTGCTCAGGTAGGTCTTTCTCACTGAGGCCACTAGCTCTATCTCTATTCAATACTCTACGTTAACATGCTGTTTAAAAAAAAAAACCCACCAATATACTTTTCACAAGTAGCATTACAAAAACTTTAAATATTCTTAAAAACTTTTCAATGTGCCCTGCCAGGAGTTGCTGTAGCACATCTCCAGTGATTTATGCCCATAGGGGTTTGACAAGGCAGCATAGCATTCCTCTTAAGAGACTAACTTGGCTTCCTTCCAAATTGCAATCTCAATGCCCTTTGGTATCTTCAAGTCATCTGTCACTTCATAAAAAATGATAAGCCAATTAGTTACTAAGATGGTGCTATCATAAAATGAACTAAAGACATTACAAAAAACGGTAACTGAAGGCATTACAAAAAAGTTAATAGAACATTAGTCCTTCTTAAAAAGAAACTAGGTTTCATTATTTCATACTATATACAAAGGTAACAAATATTTTGTTTTGCCTTTACCACTTCCTAGTTCAACACAAACCTCATCACCTAAAACACTTCAGTTACAAGCTCACATCACTTTTCACAACAGATTTCAGAAAGTTGTAACTTGATTTTTTGTAAATAAAATCATTAAACATAATTCACACTTAGGTAAGTAGTAGTCACAACCCTACAGTTTTGACTAAATTCTTGCTTTTATACTATTACAAAATGTATTTATTATGCTGCTCTGTGCAAGATTCTGTACAGAAAATTTGTATAGAATCAGAATAATCTAGAAGAACTCTTAGAAATCATTTCGTCTATGCTGCCACTTTCACACTCACACTTTTATATTCAGAGTTTAGCTTTTGAAGTGAAGCTTAGAGAATCTTATAATTTATCTTGCTCATAAACCTCAATAGTCAAATATCTGGTGGGCTTAAAGTGGGAAACATGTACAAACAAAAAAACCACTTAATTCTATCCCTTCTACATTTAATATGCAGCAAGAAGCTGAGCCAGTCCTTAAGTCATAAACACCTGGGTTCCCGAGCTGTCACTCTCTAGCTATGTAACCATTAGTAAACAGGAGCAGGAGGTATAAGTTAATGATCACCATCAGTGAAGCAAGTTTCCCTTCTAGGAGTTCTCTCACATGGACTAAAATTTACTGATCCAGACCAACCCCCAGAAATACATACATATTGGATATTCCACTAAACTGGATGTCAGTAAAAAATCTCAAGGGTTTTAGAACTGAAAGGGACCTGTCCCCTCCACCCTCCCCACCTCCATTTTACAGATATACTGCAGCTCAGCATGAAGTGACTTGCCCAAGGTTACAATTAAAAACAGTGCTTTATACTCTTGAGAGTACTAGGAATCCAGAACCCTGCATATGATCAGTCTCCAATCAACAGCTGAAAGACTTCTGAGGAGAGGAAAATAGCTATAATAAAACTCATGTAACAATGATTTATATCAGATTAGATTCATGAAGGGCATTTAATCAGCTCCACAGCTAACCAAAGGAAGGATAGAATAACAAAAATCACAATTACAAAAACACAACAATCTGGGTTTCAACAATCTAGTTTCAGATACGAACACTAACAGCTTCTGAGGCCACCCCTGCATTAGGTCACATAGTATAGTAAGTTCTCAGCACTGGCAGGTACACTGGAGAACATCTAGTTCAATTCCCTCTTTTTAAAAAGGTTAAATATGTCCAAGGTCATACTGATCGGAAGCGGAACAGTTAGGATATTCGTAATAATGATCCTGAATCAGGCACATACAAGTAAGTTATGTTCCGTATTTTGTGTAGTAAAAGGCCGATGATGAGTTTTTCTTCAAAAACTGTTTTAAGAGCGTGTCACTTTTAAGAGAAGCAAGCTTTAGTTGGCTGGAAAATTTGAATTATGTGGAATACCTTAGTCCTTGGGAATGCAAAATAAATGAAGCATTTCTTTTAACTCAGGATCTCTGACTCGAAATTCAACGTTCTTGCTAGTCTACTAGATTTATAAGAAAACTTTATCACACATATCAGCAAATCTTATCTAACTGATCATTAGGAACTTCAGGTATAGTGGAAGAAATACTGGATTTGGATCCTGACTCTCTTACTTATTACCTGTGACCAAGAGCAAGTCATTTAATTAACCTCTTTGGGCCTAGATGATCTCTAAGGTCCCCTCCAACTATGAGTGTTATGATCCTAAACTTGGTCCCTGCAATAGTGGAATACATCACAACAGAATATTCACTATGCTTTAACTTGAGAAAATCAAGTCTGCTGTAATTAAGGATAAATGGCTGTTAGATTAGAATGTATAAGCAGCATTAGTTTATACTTTCAAAAACGGTTTTATACTACACCATTACGGTAATATCAAGAGAGCTTTAAGTTTTCAAAATAGGACTTTATCCACGTTATTTATCAAAGTTTTCACATAAGTAATGAACTCTTAAAGTTCCCTTTCCATCTCTAAATTTGCATTCATTACATAATTGAACTAGTATGGCTTATATCATTAATTGGATAAAATCTCATTACAAAGGTAGGGACCATTAATAACATGAGATTATTATCCAAAGTATTGAACTACTTATTATTTAGTCACAGTAACTATATACAACCCTTTCAGGTAGGAATTTTAATATATTAAAAACAATAAGCTTAATTTAGTAAACGTGTTGCCATAGTTATACATATAAACTTGTTCAGCCATTGGTGTCGAAGATTTGAATCCGTGGGGACCATATCCGGGGCACACAATGGAATCTTGTCTATTACAACGCCTAACACTTAGTTGCCATAACAGAAAAACAGTCAATCTGATGCTGCTGTAAAGCCTTTTCCAGAGGAGAGCAGGGGTCACAATGCACTTCTTTCTTATAGACGAAAGATGCATTACTACAAAAAGTTCGCCTCAAATCTTTATTTTAAGCACCCCAGGCTCTCCAAAAGCAGCTTCTTGGGCTATTTTCTAAGCTGCAAATTAGACAGCTTTAACAAAATATTTACTGGGCAATAACCCACACCACTTGAAAGGCTCGGCGTCAGCGTCGGCCCCGGCCCCGCTACAACCCCCGGAGGCGCCTCCATTACGGGGCTATTAGCGGAGACCTTCCCGGGACGCCTGCACCGGGCCAGGGCCACAAAGCAGCCGAGCCGAGCCATGCAGAAGGCGCGCGCACGGGGCCTGACTGCCGGGGCCGCGCGAACCCGCGCGCGCCGCTGCCGCTTCCACCGCCCCCCCCATCCGGCAGCCGTTAGAAGGAGGCTGCTCTCCCCTCCCCCACCCCGCCCCTCAGGTGCCGTGCCTCAAAAGGACTTCATACTGGGATCCCATCGCCAGCCCCTCCCCTCCGAGCCTTCCTTACCGGCACCCCCCAGCCCACAGATCAGCCCCTTCCCCGCAACAGGGTCAAGGGGAGGGCAAAAAGCTGGCTTCCAAGGGAACCCGCCCCAAGTTTGAAACTGCCTCTCCCCTCCCCCAGTATCCCCTAGGAGCCGGCGGGCGCCATCCCCTCCCCTCCCCCTCCCCAGCAGCGTCCACCCGCTCCCATCCGCTCCAGGCTGCCATTAGAGACAAGGCGCGACATCGCCCGCCTCCTCGGCCCATCCACCGCCACTGTTCCCTCTCACCAGGGGCTTCCCGGGCTAGGCAGGGCGGGGGGAGGCCCGGGGAAGGAGCTGCGCGCATGCGCCCGGCCGCTCCATCAGCCCGCGCTCTGTAGCTCCGACTCGGGCCCCATCACTCCTCACTGAAGGGCAATTTAAAAAAAAAAAAAAAAAAGCTCGGAACTATAGAAAATGGCGCCTTAAAGCAACATTTCCCCCCCGCCCCGGCCCGCACCTCACCGCTCGCTCAAGCCCGGGAAGGCGCGTGCGGCTGCCAAGCCAGCCCTCGCTCTGCTCCATCGGCCGGTCTCTGCCGCCCCCCGCCCTTGCTCACCTTCCCGAAGTGTGCGGCCCAGTGCACGGGCGTCCAGCCGTAGAATGAGTCCTCGGCAGCCAGGTGGGCGCGAGGCGTGTGCTGGAGCAGGGCGCAGAGCGCAGCCAAGTCCCCGTCCCGGCAGGCGCGATGCACCGGAAAGCGGAGCGTCAGCAGCTCCTCGCTGGAGAAGCCCGCCTCGACGGCGGAGCCGGCTCCCGAAGCCGCAGACATGGCTTTCCGCTCACGGGGAAGGAAGACGGCAGCGGTGGCGGCGGTGGCCGAAGTGCAGTTCAGCGGGAGCCGCCGCCGGGCATCGAAAGCCGGCCGCGCAGCCGACGGAGGCCTCCGGCCCGGGAGCGGGGCTGTGGGAACAGAGGGAGCAGCAGCAGGAGGAGGAGCAGGCGCTGTCGGGGTCGGCGCCGCCGCTGGCCGAGCACAAAGGAGGCGAGGCGAGCCGAGCAAGCGCCGCTGCCGCCGCAGCCCCTGCCGCTGCTGCGTCCCTGAGCCGAGCGGAGAAAAGAACCTCAAAGCCGGAGGAGGAGGAGGCCGGGAGCGGGGCTGGGGCGGGTCCTGGGCGAGTCCTGGGCGAGGGGCGGGGCCAAGCACTGCCGTCGCAGCCTCTTCGCCTCCCAGCCGCTGCTGAGGGCAGCCAAGGGCGCCGCCGCAGGGGGGCGCTGTGAGAGCCGCGGGGCAGGAGCGCCGGCGGCTTCCCGGGGAGCGCGGCACGCACGCGCGTAGCCCCAACCCGCCGCCTCCCGCTCGCTGTGTCGCTCTCACCTGCCCCGGATGGGCCGCGATCCTGGGCGCAGGACAGGGAGCGCCGAGTTATAGAGGGAGCAGGAGGGGCGGAGGAGGCTGAGGAAGCGGCCCCGCCCCGGAGCCGGAGCCGCAGCTGTGGCCGGGCAGCCGGGAGGGGAGGGGAGGGGCGGGGAGGATGCGGGCCCGCGTGGGCTGGGCTTCCGGCCTTGGCCCTGGCGGTCAGAGGGGTGGAGGTGGAGGCGGCCGGAGGCCGAGTGTGCCGGAAAGTGGCTTAGCGCTGGGGCAGATGAAGCCCCCTGGGAATTTCCCGGCCTCGTCATCCGCTGGCTAAGTGTTTTGGTTGGACTTTGAAATAGGCTTTTCGGAAAGCACCAGGTTTTCCTGAAACCTTATTGTCCCCTCCCACATTCACTGGCAGACTACCTGGGTGGCGCTGGGGTTGTCACCGAGGCTTTGTTTAAACTGCGTTTTATTTCATTCATTTCGTGTTTATGGAGCGCCAGCGGGACGCCAGACGGCTCAGTAAAATGACAACCACAACGGAATGAAAATAAAAATACCTGGGAAGCCCAAGTTTCCCCGACCACACAGAATAATGTTACCCAGCTTTCCCCAAACCCTTAATTATGAGAGTGTCGCAAAAGCCAAGGGCCGCTTATGAGGTCTGGCCTGCCGGGGTCAGAGAACGCGAGTTCGAATGTTGATTCGGCCAGTTATTACTTGAGTGACTTTGTACAAGTCACAACCTCCCTGGGCCTCAGTTTCCTAAATCTGTAAATTAAAGGAGTTGAATTAGATGACTTTAAAGGCTCCTTCCAGCCCTAAATCTATGACCCTCCGAACTCAATTTTAACATTACACAGTTGCAAGTAAAGGGAAATCTTAAGACCTAGTACTGAAGCAGGCCGTGGATGTAGTAGAAATATGCATTTGGGGCGGGGGGAGAGGATCCACATTTTTTTTATTGCTGAAGAAATGTACATAATAGCAACTGTTTGCAGCGACCACATCAAGTCAACTAGCAGTGTAATGTGTATAGGTTTTCAACCCAAACAACATTTCCTTTCATTGTTCAAGTAGTATATTTCTGCATAGACGAAACAGCTTAAGAATAATAGGTTTTAGAGGTGGAGACCATCTTGGAAATTATTTAGCTAAATTCCCTCATGTTACAGATGAGGAAATTGAAACCTAGTGAGATTAAGTGATTTGCCCAGGATCAAAAGGTGTTCTTTCCAGTACCAGATAACAAGCTATTACAAAATGGTAATCATCAAAACAAGCTGGTACTGATTAAGATATAGAATAGTGGATCAGTGGAATAGATTAAGTACACAATACACCATAGTAAACATCCACAGCAGGGCTCTATGTTGACCGCTTTGGTCCTATTAGAGCAGGAAGGACAAACAACAATCTAGTGTTTGATAAACCCAAAGAGCCTAGCTTTTGGGACAAAAACTGCTGGGAAAACCGGAAAGTAGTTAGGCAGAAACTAGATATAGACCAACACCTCAGCCCTATGCCAAGATAACATCAAAATTGTTACGTGATTTAGACATAAAAGGGTGATGCTATAAACAAATTAGGGGAGAATGGAATAATTTATCTGTTAGATTTATGGATAAGGGAAGAATTTATGGCTAAAAAAGAAAGAATGCTAAGAGACGTAAAATGGATAATTTTGATTACATGAAATTTAAGAGGTTTTGCATAAACAAAACCAATGCAGCCAAGATTAAAAAGAAAGCAGAAAACTGGAAGGAAAATTATAACAAGTTTCTCTGATGAAGACCTCATTTTTTGAATATATAGGGAATTAAGTCAAATTTATAAGAATACAAGTCATTCATTACCCAATTGATAAATGGTCAAAGGATATGAACAGGCAGTTTTCAGAAGAAGAAATCAAAGCTATTTATAGTCATATAAAATGCCCTAAATCACTATTGATTAGAGAAATGAAAATTAAAACAACTCTGAGGCACCACCTCACACCTGTCAGATTTGTACAAAAAATATTTATAGCAGTTCTTTTGTGGTGGCAAAGAATTGGAAATTGAGGGAGTGCTCATCGATTGGGGAATGGCTGAACAAGTTGTGGTATATGATTGTGATGGAATACTATTGTCTGTAAGAAATGATGAGCAGGATGCTTTCAGAAAAACCTGGAAAGACTTACATGAATTGATTCAAAGTAAAATGAGCAGAACCAGGAGAACATTGTACACCATAACAGCAATGCTCAACTGTGAATGACTTAGCTATTCTCAGCAATACAATGATCCAAGACAGTTCCAAAGGACTTCTGATGAAAAATGCTGTCCACCACCAGAGGAAGAACTGATGGAGTCTGAATGCAGATTGAATCATACTTTTTTTTAAACCGTATTTTTCTTGGGTTTTTTTTTTGGTCTGTGTTTTCTCTCACAACATGACTAATATGGAAATATGTTTTGCACAACTGTACATGCAAAATCAATATCAAGTTCTTGCCTTTTCAAGATGCAGAGAGGGGAGTGAGGGAGGGAGAGAATTTGGAACTCAAATGTTTAACGAATATTTAAAACTGTTTTTACCTGTAATTGGAAAAAGTTTTTTTTTTTAATTTTAAAGGTGATTTTTCCACCATAACTTCTGATCACTATATAGAATAAATTTTATTCCAAAAATAACTCTCCTGGTTTCTTCCAGTTGAATTAGAAGTGAGTTCATTTTTTAAAGTATACTCTCCAAAAATGATTTCTGCTATATAAATGCTAAGGGATGATTACTACTGATAATTCTCACTCTATGTATGGTAAAAACTGAAACAAATAAGCCAAGAGATTTATCAGAGATATCTACCAGTGATAGAACTGAGAAGTCTAGATTTGACTACCAATAGTATATATAGTATTTTTGCCTTATGCTTTTATTTTCATGTACAGCTAAATGCAAACCACAGATTCCAATAGAATGTAACTTTTTCAGAGCAAAGACTTTTTTATCTTTTGCGTTTTTTTAATCCCCAGCTAGTAGGCTTAGGCAATTGACCTATTGATACACCCTTTGTCAGTTGGGATACTTGGGAGACTCTTGCTACAAGACGTAATACATATACCTTCATAGACATGAACATAGATGTATCTGTATAGCATATTCTTAAAATGCCACATCTAACTAGGCCAACCATAAATGTGGAAAACCACAGCTGTGAAGAGTAGATAAGAATCTCACTTATCTTACATCTTCTTTAGTTAAAGTGTTGCTGTATTGTTCCACAGTCTCATTCAATCCTGATTCTCCATTTCTAAATACCATTTTGAGGCTTCCTTAGGGATTTTTAAGTGATTCTCCAACCTCAACATATTTGTAATTTGGGGGGTTCTGTTGTTGGAGGCAAACCTGACTTAAAGTTATTTGAAAATGTTATCATGTGAATTACTAAGCAATTATTTTAAAATATTCAAGTACAAAGAAGAAAATAGGAAACCCCCCAAATGAGCTATTTAATAAACTACTCAAATGCCTCATTATTGCCCTGAGGTGATGCAAGGTTCTCAAAGAACTAGAGCTCTGGCAGCAAGTTCAACCAAGCTGGAAAATCTTCGGTTATGGGCCTGAGGACAGTTGGACTACCCACATTAGGAGAGGCTCGTAATCTGAAGACTGGCTATCAAGTGACACTTTTTTCTCCCATAATTCATAAAACTCCCTACTAAACCTTGGAGAGACCATGATCTGCAGAGAGCATCCACACTAATTATGTGGCCACTGTTTGTTTTTTTAAGTACTGGCTTTACATCTTTAATTCAGTATTTACATTGCCTGTTTCAAAAATAATTTTATACTTTAACCTGTTTCAATAACTAATTATATTATAGAATCATAGAATTAAAACTTGAAGGAATCATAGAGGTCATCTAGTTTAACTCTCTCATTTTACAGATAAGGAAACTGAGCTAAGCACTTAATGTTTTAAATTATTTAATACTCCATTATTATTGCCTGGGATGAAAAATCCTTAGAGGGGCAGCTAGGTGGCGCAGTGGAGAGCTCCAGCCTTGAAGTCGGGAGGACCTGAGTTCAAATCCGGTCTCAGACACACAATGCGTACTAGCCATGTGACCCTGGGCAAGTCACTTAAGCCTAGCAAAAAAAAAAAAGTATATTCTGTTTACTCATTCCTGCCTCCTTCCCTTCTCCCCCCCACCCGTGTTTAAAATTTCTACCAGTAGATTTACTCCTTAACCTCTAGCAAAATTGGCAAATTGATTAGTTAAACTATTTTGTTACCTGGAAGTACTATTAGCTATCTAGCTCATTAGCAAGGATTAGTTTATTTATCCATTCATTATTAACTAACCTGGTGGAGGAAAGTTTGAAAGAATAAGAGAAAAACAAGTTTTGATGGGGATGTGGCAGATAAGATCTCTTATGGTGGATTAAAAATTGCTAAGCTTAAGGATCTTGGAATGTAATAAAACTGAAAGATAAGATCAACT